CCTCATATACAGTATAACACTTTTTAGCCATCCATGTAATCAAAGGGTTTGGGGCTGAGTTTATGTTTGTATTAAACAAATGGCCAAGTTCTTTGATAAGGTCACATTAATCTCTGGGGATTGGAGCAAATGCTTTGTTAGGTTTCCAAGTGTAATCCCTGTGGGATGCCACCGCCAACTGTGGGGCATGATCAAAGAAAGTAATAGGACCAATTGTGGATTGAATGACATGAGTGAGAGAAGCATGTTTGGAGAAGAAGAAATTCAGCCTAGAATAGGTTTTGTGTGCTGTAGAATGGAAAGTAAAGTCCCTGTCAGGAAGGTGATGAATTCTCCATATATTAATTAGTTGATCAAAAATAAGTGTTAAGCGCCTGTTGTAGGTGAAGTTTATCAGGCTCAAATTTAGTTATTTAAAGAGTAACTCCACTTTTGTTGAAAAAAAAAAACATTCCTCTTGGGTGATCTATGCACATTGCAGGGATTTTTAACAAACGTTGCTGCAGATTTCTACCTTTTGTTATTCTGAAAAAAAAGCTGTTTGTTTGTCTGTGTTCATGTGCAGAGTGAATCTAATGGGAGTGGTTTCATCATTATTTATCTGCTGCTGCACCTGCAGAGCTCTGAGGAAAATGGCAGGGCCTGTATCCCTTTAGGCATGATTCCCTATTGTGAATATCTCACCAAAAATCATTTTTTGTTGCAGGGGATGCCTGAAATCTGACTTGATGCAAGATGTTTGCTCTGGGGGAATTTGGCAGCAGGGAGGGGCTAGGAGTGCCAGTGGACTTGAGAAGAGGAGGATCTGGGCTGCTCTGTGCAAAACCACTGCACAGAGCAGGTAAGTATAACATGTTTTATATATATATATATATATATATATATATACACACACACACACACACATACATACTGTACATACATACACAGTTGATATAAAAAGTCTACACACCTCTGTTAAATGTCAAGTTTCTGTGATGTAAAAATATGAGACAAAGATAAATAATTTCAAAAAAAATTTCCACCTTTAATGTGACCTACAAACTGTATATCTCCATTACAAAAAACAAACTGAAATATTTTAGGGGGGGAAATAAACATCAAAAACTAAAATAGTGTGGTTGCATAAGTGTGCACACCCTGTTATAACTGGGGATGTAGCTGTGTTCAGAATTAAGCAATCACATTCAAAATCATGTTAAATAGGAGTCAGTACACTCCTGTCATCATTTAAAGTGCCACAAATAAAGTTCAGCTGTTCTAGTAGGTCTTTCCTGACATTTTCTTAGTCACATCCTGCAGCAAAAGCCATGGTCTGCAGAGAGCTTCCAAAGCATCAGAGGGATCTCATTGTTAAAAGGTATCAGTCAAGAGAAGGGTACAAAAGAATTTCCAAGACATTAGATATGCCATGGAACACAGTGAAGACAGTCACCATCAAGTGGAGAATATATGGTGCAACAGTGACATTACCAAGAACTGACGTCCCACCAAAATTGATGAAAAGATGAGAAGAAAACTGGCCTGGAAGGCTGCCAAGAGGCCTACAGCAACATTAAATGAGCTGCAGGAATATCTGGCAAGTACTGGCTGTGTGGTATATGTGACAACAATCTCCCGTATTCTTCATATGTCTGGGCTATGGGGTAGAGTGGCAAGACTCTTACAAGTGGCCTTTTCTTACCCACAGTGAAGCATGGTGGTGGCAGCATCCTGCTTTGGGGTTGTTTTTCTTCAGCTGGAACTGGGGCCTTAGTCTAGGTAGAGGGAATTATGAACAGCTCCAAATACCAGTCAATATTGGCACAAAACCTTCAGGCTCCTGCTAGAAAGATGAACATGAAGAGGAACTATCTGGGCTATGGGGTAGAGTGGCAAGACTCTTACAAGTGGCCTTTTCTTATGAAGAAAAACATCCAAGCCCAGCTAGATTTTGCAAAAACACATCTCAAGTCTCCCAAAAGCATGTGGGAAAATGTATGGTCTGATGAAACCAAGGTTGAACTTTTAGGCCATAATTTCAAAAGATATGTTTGATGCAAAAACAACACTGCAAATCACCAAAATAACACCATACTCACAGTGAAGCATGGTGGTGGCAGCATCATGCCTTGGGGTTGTTTTTCTTCAGCTGGAAATGGGGCCATAGTCAAGGGAGAGGGAATTATGAACAGTTCCAAATATCAGTCAATATTGGCACAAAACCTTCAGGCTTCTGCTAGAAAGATGAACATGAAGAGGAATTTATCTTTCTGCATGACAACGACCCAAAGCATGCATCCAAATCAACAAAAGAATGGCTTCACCAGAAGAAGATTAAAGTTTTGGAATGGCCCAGACCTGAATCAGATCAAAAATCTGTGGGGTGATCTAAAGAGGGCTGTGCACAGGAGATGCCCTCACAATCTGACAGATTTGGAGTGTTTTTGCAAGGAAGAGTGGGCAAATATTACCAAGTCAAGATGTGCCGTGCTGATAGACTCATACCCAAAAAGACTGAGTGCTGGAATAAAATCAAAAGATGCTTCAACAAAGTATTAGTTTAAGGGTGTGCAGTTGTACAGTTTGTAAATCACATTAAGGTGGAAAACGTCCTGAAATTATTTATCTTTGTCTCAATTTCTTACATCAGAGAAACCTGACATTTTAACAGGGGTGTGTAGACTTTTTATATCCACTTTAAATATAATATATATATATATATATATATATATATATATATAAATATATATATTATTTTTATTTATTTATTTATTTTTTTCAATTATAATATTATTATTACTACAGGACTTATATAGCGCCGACAGTTTGCTCAGCGCTTTACATTATGGAGGGAGACAGTACAGTAACAATACAGTTCAATACAAGAGGGATTAGAGGGCCCTGCTCCTTGGAGCTTACAATCTAGGAGGGAGGGGATAGTGGTACAAGAGGTAATTAGCTGTGGGGGATGGAGTGGTTTGGGGAGTAGGGGATTCCAGTAGTTACCCGGGGTCGGGGTAGGCTTCCCTGAAGAGATGAGTTTTCAGAGTGCGCCTAAAAGTGAGCAGAGTAGGCGATAGCCTGATAGCTTGAGTCAGGGACTTCCAGAGGATGAGTGAAGCCCGTGAGAAATCCTGGAGACGAGCATGGGAGGAGGAGACAAGGGAGCTAGAGAGTAGGAGGTCTTGTGAGGAGCGGAGAGTATGGTTTGGGTGGTATTTAGAGACAAGATCGGTGATGTAGTTAGGGGCAGTGTTATGAACGGCTTTATATGTTTTTCAATGTGCCTTTAATATAGTTTTAATGCCCTGAATGCATTCCATGCAATCTTAAGTGGTAACTAAACTTTTTGACATAAATTAAATTTTTTTTTTAATGTATTGTAACTCCCCATCCCATGATCATAATCCCCCTGCATTGGCACACAAAGGGAGGACTGGTGAGTGTGTATATTCTGATCTAGTCTGATCTCATTTCCAGAAGTGATATGCTCCTGCTGATCTATGCTGTTCCTAAAAAAAACAGCATGCCAGGCAGCATTTCAGCACTCCCCTCACCCCATTCACATCACATATGTCATAAAAAGGGGAAATGAGAGGGTCAGGGTGGGGATAGACGGTGGAGGAGAACAGAAACAACAATACTAAAATTAAGCGTTAGTGAGCAGCCACATTTGGTCGCTTTAATCAAGCATTGTTGGTCATTGTTGCTGAAAAGCTTGATTATTTCTAATCAACCATTAAGAAAACTAAAACTGCATAATACATAAATTGATGTTACTAATCAGATAAATCAAATGTAGATTATGAATTTTGACTCGAATTCCACTTTAATGAAAAAGTAATCAATCCTAGTATGCATATGGTGTATTTTAGCTAAAAAGGTGTATTTGTTTTCTGTTTAGTACAATAAACGCCAAGCATTAAATATACCTTATTTTCTGAATTTGTTTAACATGTAGTGATTGTAAAGACATGGAAGGAGGGACAGGATTGTTTTCTAGGGGTAAGTGACTATTTGAGGATTAATTAAGCAGTAAATTTAAGTGTTACTAAACACCGGACCTTGCATTCACTATATCTGGTCTCCCTCAGTAACACACAACATGGAAATGCAATTATTTTAGTAAATATAAACTGCTAAATACCTTTTCTCATCAGCAGTTAGAGCAGTCTTGGGACTTCAGCAGAGTACTGGTTAAAGCTTTTAGAAGAAGAAGAAATATAATAGAGCTTCCTAGTGCGAAATCCTAAAAAATATAAAGAAAATATTGCTGAACAAGAATAGTAGAGCCAAAATAGCTGATTTTTTAGGCACAGTAAGAGACCACATTATCGTGTAAAATTAACACAATTTATTCACATAAAACGGTCACAAAAAATATCCATAAAACAAACGATACATACTGTACATAACACATCAAGGGGGAATAGAAAAGTCAGTACATAGTTAATCCCTTGACACATGATACATGTCGCCTACACATCTGGCTTCTTCAGGACCGTAAATTCTATATAACAGGAAAGCAGTACTGCTACAAATAAATCTGAAAAAAGGGGGCTCAAGCAATATATATATATATATATATATATATCATCAATGATATAAAATACAAAAGACATGTAATGAATAAAAAAATGACAAACAATCATTGGGCTCACATGGGAGCACGGCAACCAATGGTATATGGTCTAGGGGGCGGACATAGGAGACCTGAGTGCGGAACACAGGTAACAGACCAGGAAACAAGATAGTACATGACCGGATCCTATAAAAAAAAAGATATAGAGTGTCACCAGCAAGTAATGTAGTTATGTAAACCTACATATCATAGTAAACAAATGCTTGAGCCAAATATCTGGGCTTATACTCATAATAATCACAAGTTGTGCCCACACATGGCAAAATCAATAAAGCTTCAATACGTGAAGGCTGGGGGCAATTTGAAAAAAGAATGACACAAGGCATTGACAAGCCTAAAGAAACGGCCATATGTAAAAGGGTGGTACCCAAGTAGAAGTCATATATTAACCCCTTCACGCCTAAGGGTAAAACCAATCTTAACTCATAAGCACAATTTTGCCACTTTGACATGTGTTAGTAAAACCGTGCATATCATCACAACTACTTTGTACATCCAGGTGAAACATACCTTGTTTTTTTTCAGGACAAATTGGGCTTTCATTTGGTGGTAAATGAAAATCTCCTGATTTTTTTTTATTATCAAAGGAGAACTGGCCCAAAATAGTAAAAAAAAAAATCATTTTTTTAATTTACATGTTTGTTTCTTGTTACTACCATAACCTACCACCAAAGAACAACCCAAAATAAATTTTCCAACTCTAAACGATCGCAGCAATACCATATATGTATATGTTATTTGTTGTTTGTACCCACAGGAAACCTAGAAACAATAGTGTGCATTTTGTTTTTTTTTTTTTTCTTTACCTAAAACACACTGACACTAACTGACACTGATACCAATAAAAAAAAATTTAAAAAATGTAAATAAAATTAAAATCCTGACCTTTGACCCTAATCTCTGACCTTGACCTTGACCCAAACACTAACCATGGCACTGAACTAGATCAAACCTTGATCTAGGTATTTTTTCTTTTATTTTTTATTTTATTTTTTTAATATTTATTTATTTATCTTTTTATTAACAAACAGTTGTTTTTTTTTCCTCTATGCAAGGAAGTAAAGAGATACAATGTATATCTCTCCTCCATTCAGAGAGAAAAAAAAAACAAGAGGGCCGGCCTGCACAGTGACTGATCACTGTGATAGCCAATCAGAGGCAGTCACAGAGATCATGTGACCCAGAATCAAGAGTCCCGGATCACGATCGTTGTGCTGGGAGCGCGCTGTGTGGAGTGCTCCCAGCAGAAAAAAAGTTATGCAAATATGCGGCCCCACGGAAAAGAGCCCAGTTCTGTGAGGGCGCGTATTTGTGTGACGTCGGCGGGAAGGGGTTAAGTATCAAAGAAGACCTCAAACTCACTAATGTGGCTGACATTGGAAGATACGTTTAATGAAAAGGCGATAAAGGCATGTAAATGTAACAGCCCATAACGTTCATTAACAAGCCCAGCAAACGTGGTAGCTCCTGTCCTGCCAGTCGTAGCCGGCCGCTTATGACAAACCACGGTCAGTCGACATGACACGGAGTGTGTCCACCCTAAAGTGACACAAGTGACATCAGACGCACGTGACATTGACAAAGCAATGCGCATGTGCCAAAGAGCCAATGGCGCAGATGCACTGACAGGGGACATGGCGGCCCGCCTCCAAGGAATGGGGACACGGCAAGCCACCCCATCATCACAATCCCAGTAGGGAAAGTGGGCGGACATATATGCCCACTCCAAGACCAGCACCCGTGGCCACTGCCACCTGCAAGAGACCGAGAGCCCAAAATAACACAACAAAACATATTGCATAATACACAATATATATATCAAGTTGATAATTACAACAAGATGCATGAAGCACAAAAATCAATACAAGTCCGTAACAAAATTGCAAATACAGTTAGACACAGCTTAACATTGGACACATCTCACAGCATATCAAAGAAGGGATGGTAACAAAGTAAGTGTGATAATGATCCCACAATATTGAATAGATTATAAAAAGGGTTTATAGCTCAAAGTTTCGTTTAGACCGGGGTGGGTGGTAGCCTTAAGACGGTATATCCAGCGTGCTTCTCGCTGAAAAATATATTTATCAAAGCTACCTCCTCTAGGATTTTCTTTTATGCATTCCAGTGCAGCAAACCTCACTACCTCAGTATAATTTTTATGGCATAGTCCCACACGTCTCAATATTGGGGTAGATAGTAAGCTGTTATTCAAAATATATATATATATATATTTCAAATATAATGTATGTTTTAAAAATACATTTAATCCACATTTTTGGAATGCATTTACAAATACATGTAAAAATATATGTTAAAAAGACTTTTTTATGTTAAAAAATCTGAAGAATATATTTAAAAAAATATATGTAAAAATTTTTTTTACATTTTGTTATATATAAAAAACGCACTTCAACATACAGTATATATATATATATATATATATATATATATATATATATATATATATATATATATATTGAAATATATTTAATATGGCCAAAATTGTGGTATTTCAAATATATGTAAATATATTTGGGAAAAATATTTGTAAAATATATTTAAAATATATGTAGACAATGCCAATAGTTTGACAATCCACATAATGTCTGATAGACTGTAGTTGGCCATTAGGCAAGTACAGTGATTGATATTCATTTACCACATTTCCAAGTACGACATACCAGATGATCCTTGTTAGGTCCTGCCTGTTCAAAATGATTGCTAGTAATTCTATCCCTAATAGACTGGGCCCTCTTATAGGTAATTTCTGTATAATCCTTAACATATTTTTTGAGGATGGTGTCGTTAGTCAATAAATACCAGCGCTGTTGGAGAATCTGGCGTATTAGCCCATGCTGCCTAGTAAATAGGGTGATTAGTCTGACTGTATTTGGATTGGAATAGTCTATTCCCCCTTGATGTGTGCGAAACGCGTTGACTATTTTTCTAAATCTCTACTTTATTCCTGCAATCAACAAGTATACTATAGATGACATGTATCATATGTCAAGGGATTAACTATGTACTGACTTTTATATTCCCCCTTGATGTGTTATGTATGTATTGTTTGTTTTATGTATATATTTTGTGACCATTTTATGCAAATATATTGTGTTAATTTCACATTATAATGTGGTCTCTTACTGTGCCTAAAAAATCCGCTAATTTGGCCGTACTATTCTTGTCCGGCAATATTTTCTTTAGCTTTTAGAAGGAGTTTTCTTTCTGCACTAGAAGGATGCAAAACCCCTGACCTTTGTCTGGACAGTGCTAATTGGCCCTGTGCTGATCACATGCACTCTCCAGCCATACACACTAAACTGAGCATGTGCAGAAGGGCTACCAGTTCAGTCTGTGTTATCAGTGTGAACATTTGAACAAGAGGAAGGGCAGAGAAGTCAGGATCAAACTGCCTTTTTACACAATGCAGATGATTAACCTCTTAGGTTCCACAGTGAGTATAACAAGCTTGCTTTACTGCTTATATGGACTGATTTTACTGTTGTGGGCTTAGTAACACTTTAAAATCCTCACCAAATATTAAAAAGGTATGGTCTGGGGTGAACAGATAGAAGTAGCATGTATTTGAAGAATATTATTTTTTAAACGTTAGGGGTATACACTGCACAGGGTAACATTAAACATGTTTAACTGACCCTGTAAGATTATATAGCGATGGTTAGGATCAATGATAGAGTGGATAACATTAACAATTGTGTTCTTATGGAAGAGTACGGCTATTCCGACCTATTTCCTGTCACTGGTTGGGGAAGAATATACAAAGGGACAATGATCACTGTTCAACAAATTTTTATTTTTTGCCAGTTTTGGAAACAAAAGGATCCATTTCTTAATGAATTTCACATTCTGAGTTCAAATATAACAATGAAATTTGTCAATTGGCTCTAGTTTTTCTGTAAACGGAAAGTTTTCTACTATAGGCGTAATGACTACATAATGCACAATAATTATATAGATAGATGTCTTTCCACAAATATAAAGCAAGTGATATTGACTACATAACAAAGCCTAAATGGCATAATATATTGCATAGGATTACCAAGAAAAATTATAGCCATAAGCTAAGTTGAATCATTTTAATACTTAGGATTCTCACTAGTTTTGTCTTCAGTTTGTGTCGGTTTTGCTTCTCTTGGCTTTTCTCTTGTATTCGAGGAAAGGGCTATCTCTTACAACTGCACGTGACTACACGCTTCAGGTTCTTCCTCACTTGACTCAACCACGAAGGATTCTGGTGCTTTAGGAATTGGTAGCCCCTCTCCATGAGGAACTGGACGTATTGCCGATGGAATATTTGGATAGTGCACAGATAACTTTTTCTTCTTATTTAGCCCTTTTACAATTGGAGGCACCATACAAAAGTAACAATTACTAACATGATCTGTTGGCTCTCTCCAAATCATTGGCACAGCGAAAGGCATAGATGCCTTTTTTCCATTCAACCATTGCTCCAGTGCCGTCCCACAAGAATTGCAGCATATATGTGGTGCCCAGCTCTTGTCCTGGTCTCCTATCTTGCAGCCAAAAATACAAGTTGTAGGCTTTCTTAATCATTCCTGTTATCCTCCTTTTTTGTGAGAGATAAAAGTTATTTCACCGCAGATATAGCAGAAATTATCTGCTTTATTCACACAAGTTCGAGGCATTACTGAGTAGCCTATATAAGCATAAAACGAAATGTAAAGACGCTGTCGAACTACAATCAGCTACAGATACTGAAGCTTTTATGCAGTGAAGTGATGCAATTAAAGGCTAATATTGCATCATCTCAGTATACATGCAATTTTCTATTGGTCACCAGTATCAATTGCGCAATATGCAGCTGAAGTTGCATCATAATTTTGAATGGCTTACGTCATTAGATGGGTGAATATATCATGGAAACTAGAGCCAATCAACATTTTTTAGGGTCATTTTCGTTTTCAGCACCCCCAAAATTATGTATTACGATTAGCTAATTTTATGCCCAAAACTTTTTACCTGTTGAACAGTGTTAGTTGCAAATGCAGAATTACCAGTAAGTATCAATGTGTTTATTAGTGAAATGCTATTTCCACACTTTTGTCTATTAAATTCCTGAAGGGTTGGCTTCTTTTTAGAATTTAACCCATTCAACATCCAACATTAACCCATTCAACATTTAGGGATATGAATCTAGTCATGGGGTAATGTATAACAAGTATGCAAGTTACTGCTCTCTGACATGCAGGAAATGCATGTATTTCCTCTGGAGGAGGGAAGCCATATTGTGTGCTTAAGAGCCAATCAGGCTTTCCAAGTGGCTCTAGGGGATGGGTGAGGCAGGGAAGAACTAAGAGGACAGGAAAAAAACAGAGAAAATATTTGAATATATGTAACAATAACAGCAAACATCTTGAGTAATTCTGAAATTCTCCAAAATGGACTTCATCACCTCATAGCCCAAGAGGGTCTGGGGTCCTAGGAAGCTGCTTTGACCGCCCCAATTTAGATCCACAAATCCTCTCCAGCACTGCCTAGGCATCAACCATGCCTAAGTGGCAGCTGAATACTACATGCTTAGGCCTGGGCAGCAGCAGACAGAAGAAGACTTAAAAGGCATTTAACAGTTGGACAGCAATCTCAGACCTCAAAGAAAGAACAGCAACCTTTTCAAACTCTATCTGCCCTTGCTCATGCAGAAAGTGCATGATAGAGAGTTTGCTACAAAGTAGGAGATGGTTTAGGCCAATGTTCATTTTTTTGGACTTTTTTTGCAGGTTTTTAAACT